AAAGTGCAATAGAGAGAAGCTACAATAGGGGCTGCTATTGCACTATGCATCCACTAGACGGAGCTACGCTAAGGGGAATACAATACAACACAATCCAGCTTTATTTATATAGCGCTTTCACAACCGCTGCAGCTGTAACAAAGCGCTTGAAAGAACATTTAAAAATCTGAATATTGACCCATATATGAGGCGCGTCGCATTATAAGGCGCACTGACGGCTTTTGAGAAAATTAAGGCTTTTAGGTGCGCCTTATGGTGCGGAAAATACGGTATCTTATGAAGATATTGACATTTGTTAAATCTTGGGCATCCAACTAACTTAACAATTGGGGGTGGGTATTTTTCACATGTGAACCAGTTTGGTTTCAATTCCCAGTACCTGGGAATGGATACCGGTACTTGGCGATACCAATTTTTCAACATATAAAATGTCACTAACAACAAAACATCATGAATGTAAAACAAATGAGCCAGTAAATGAACGATATCGCATTTTCAAATGAATACATCAGAAATAATACAAACAAGAAATTCATATTGCAAAATACACTAGAATTGTCATCCAGCAGCCTGTCCCCATTTACTTCAGCTTACAATATTCCCACAATTCAATCCAAAAATGGAATTAGAAGTAGAAATATCCCCCGCAACGGCCTGGAGCAGGAACAGATAATGCCTGGATTAAGTGCTTGAGTCCAAAAAAAAAAAAATGCATATTTTAAAAGTTTGACAACAGACAAAATGAATGATGTAGAGCCTTGTTCAGCGTGCAGCCAACTACTGTAATGAAAAGTAAACACACATGACACAGTGGCTCTAAGAGCAGGGGATCAACTTGTTTTGCCAACACAAGGTCTTGATCTCTCTATCTTAACAAGTGACGTCTTGTCTCATCTCCAAGGGTGGCCGTCACTTTTGAGACAGTTGATTTTAAAAAAAAAAAAAAAAAAAAAAAAAAAAAAAAGCAATCCCAGCCCACCTGCATCATGTTGAAATGTAAGTTAATGGATAATAGACTGCTACGTTCAATCCGGACCTGCGATCCAGGCAGCGGTTCTCTCGTGCTTCTGCTGGACTGACACCCTTTTTACCAATCTAATTTTCCAAACTTGAACTCACCAGAAAATATTGTACTCTATATGATAATTTACATTATGGAAGCGTCTGTTCGTTTATACGCTCATAATGTAAACATATGTTTGAAGGGCTCAAAATAAGTGGTTCCACTTCTCGAACAAACGCATAAAAACGCAAAACTGCAAATGGGCCAGCGTTTATGCGGCGCAATGCAAACCTGACAAATGTTATGAAATCACTGCACGAACGGGAACTCGTTACGGCCGTCACGCATCGAGATTGTTTTAAATATTTGAAAAAAAATCACCATAGTGGCCGCCGCTTCGTATGTGTGCGAGACTCAGGAGGCGGACACTGCAACAGCCCTTTTGTGTTTCCCTCATAACTAATTAGGGAAGCGAGCCCGTTTCGTGTGTGAGCCTGCCTTTGCGTCAAACTAAAGCATCTTAACGTGGCACGAGCTCCTCATCACGCCGAGGCCATGGGAGCTGGCTTGGCCAGCTGCATCCAGTCTGAGCATTTGCTGTCGTGAAGTAAATGCATCGTGACGTTATTGTTTACGCACTTGTAGATGGTGACATCTTCCCAGGGCTGGTCTGTGACGGCAGAACTTGTTTCAAAATATTTGTCTGTCAATACAAACGGACACATAAGGTGGAGGTTATGCTGAATTTCAGGTTTCATCCAAGCCTGCTTGGCTGTGAGACGACCGCCGACTGGAGCTGCCTGGACACAAGCAGCAATAAAACTGATTTCACTGATTTCGCAGCAATTTACAGACTCTCAGTCACCTTGCAGGGTAGAATCCCAAGGCAAATCACGCCAAGCTCTTCTGCTTGCTTGCATGCTTTGTGCAGGGCCCGCAGGAACACAGGAAGGAGCACAGTAACACCTCGGGGGACGGCTGCCACGACGCACGGCAAACTTGCCGCATCTGTTTTAACGAGGGCAGCTCAAACCCCGAGAGCCAGGGGAGCAGCGGTTGCGGCAATTGGAGGGTACCGACCTCCACTGTTAGCCGCCACGCATGACTCATATGACGACTATGTGAGTCTAATCCTCTTTGCTCAAAGTTAAAAGTAGAGCTCATAGTAATTGCTGGTGAACGGTAAATCAGACTTGATTTAATCCGCCGTTAATGTGATGAGTCTTATGTTACATCTCGAGGTAGGGCAAATTGGAGCATCAATGGATTCCATTATTTGGAAAAATTGGAGCAAGGAGCCAACTTTTTTTCATTAAAAAGATGTATAATTACTTCCACTGAATTAACGTCCCCAGAAAATATCATGGTGGGTCATAGACGCAGGAAGAATGCATTACATTTCTGGTTAGATGCTGTTTAAAAACAAAAATGCCTATTGTGTAAATTGTACGGAATGGTGAAACTGCCAATGTGGAGTAAGCATTTTGGACTCGGCTATGTTATTGAAACGTACAGCAAAGTTGTTCGAAAAAAAGTGGTTGGAATGCCCTGAAAAGTCATTTGAACATAGTTGGTAAAACATAAGCGAAATGCCAACACATCACATTTTTGCCCATCATGCCCTCACGGGACTGACTTGCCCATGCCTAGTGTGGCGCTATGGAAAAAAATGCATGAAATTATGGGGGAAAAAAATGTTCATGTTTTTAACATTTTACTTACAATTGACCAAACACATTCGAATGACTTTACCAAATACGTTTGAATGACTTTGCATTCCATGAAACGCCATAGCGCAGTCAAAAATGCTTAACCCACATTGGCAATTCCACACTTCTGTAGAATTGCTAGCTCGGGCATTTTTTGGGAGAATAGGGAGGCAAACAGTCCAGAGTGTATAATGCCTGTGTAACCATTGTTGGCTAGGATTTGGCCGCAGTTCAATCGTCAAACTTAATGAATGCAGAGAACAATCAAAGTAAGAACAAAAAAGCATCCCCCATGAAAGTTTTTCCACTTGGTCAAAACAATTGTATTGTTTCTCCCACTGTGTTGCGGTTCATCATTTGTGTCCATTCGACTTTGTGGATTTTCAAGTGATCCTTTTTTGTGGGTTGTTACTGTACACTTACTTACTGTAATGTCCTCCCGTGGGGTGAAGGAGGGCCGCAGTCTCCAGGAGAACAGTCAAAGACATAAACATAATGAGCATAATCATGCAGGAGCTGCTGTTGGCCATGAACACAGACACATCAGTACATACAGTATTTTCTTTACAGAAAAACCACTGAGGGTTTGCGAGTTGGTTGCAAAAGAAGAGACTGTGTTCTCGTCAGGGTCGCTAACATTTGCCAATCAGTCACCAAAAATTTGCCAGATATGAGCCAGCCTGTACTTTTCTTGTCGCAGGGGAATTTTCAACATATACACAATATTTCCTTGCGACAAACGTTCACAAATGTTTGCGACCTTGAATGAACCCTGACGTGAATGCGCATTCACGAACCTTCGCCAGCAGAAGCAAATGTTTTCCCCTCAGGGGGATAGGAGCTTTCCAAATTTCCTTGCGACAACAAAAACCCTTAAAACTGTTTGGCGAATGTCTAACGAACGTCTGGAGAACGTTTGTCAAACGTTTACGACTTTGAACGAATCCTGTTCATTCACTACCTCTGCCAAATTTCACCCCGTTCTCTCTGGATGTGTTTCAATCAATGTAAAGTGTGCTTTCATTTGGTTTAAAATTGTTCAAATAGGTGATAAGGAAAAAAACTATCACCAAGAATTTGTTTATATGGTCTTTTTAGATTGCAGGTTTTCACTTGGGTTTTTTGAATCTATCTCCTGTGATAAAGAGGTATTTGAATCTGCCACAGCTCATAACATGAACATCTTTCAAATACTCAACTGACTTGCACTGGCGGCTGCTCACGCTAAAGATTCATATCAAAAACACTTCAACTCCAACGCGAGATTGTCTTGAGATTTTGTCAAGGTCGTTTTAGATTTCAAGGTGATCTCCAAGTTCCACCCAAACATGAAAAGGCAACCCTTTCACCAATGGAGCCCATTTGAGGCTCCCCTGCGAAGCAGAGCCCCTCTGTGTGCTGGCATGTGAAGATTGGGCTGTCTGTACAAGGAGATGCACAAGCAAAGTCTCATTACCAAACCAAATTGAGTTCTGATGTGGAGCCTGCGTATTTCTGCAAAGTAAAAAAGCTCAACGTTTCTTCTCTTTGGAATTGGAGGTTAGGAAGGAGGTTGGGAGCACAGAGACTAGGGGATTACAGGAAGAAGATGAGTTTGTCCTGAACAGTTTCTTCTTTCATATCTTACTTTGGCGGGTGTTTCTTTTTTTTTTCTGCTACATTACACACTTTCCTTTGAGCGTATTCTGAAGGCTGCAAGATCTTTTTTTATTTTTTTTTAATTTTTAAATGCAAGGTTTGTGTATTTTTTTTCCCCCAATGACTGAGTTTAGGGTCGGTCTAATGCTTCTCTTTATGCCAAACCAAACATTCTATTTTGAGTGCGGTAATCAACAGTCGCTCAGAACGGGCGGGTTTGGCTCTGCCAAGATGCACCCTGTGTGGATATTGTGTCACTTTCTCCAGAGGCCGATGACTTATGTACGCTGTCAAAGTGTCAAGCTGTCTCCTAAAAGTGATACCATGTCCATGGCACTTATTGAGGGTGGTATTGATTTAAAACTTCAACAGAAAGTACAAAGAAGCTGGCAGTTATCATGTTTCTGTGCCTCTTCATAATTTATGAATTCAATATTCTTTCCCCATATCTTTCTACCACAAATCTCACCTTGCTATAACCTTTCTGGCCACTACTGCATCTGCCGGATGGAAGCTACAAAGAAACCAGTTGTGAATAGGATTCCAAAAGGGGGGGGGGACATTTTCCACAATATTTCCATTGGAATTTCAGAAAAGGAGTTTGGGAAATATTTAATTGGAAAAGTTGGACAGCTCGTAAATTATTTAATTCATTGGTTTGAAGTGGAAATTTTGAGGACTGTAAGTTATGAACATGGTAATTGATATTTTTTCCTCTCTTATGTATACTACTATTTTTGTGCTGTTTTCTTCAAAAGTTTGTTTTTTATTGGTTGAATTATTGTTTTCTCCGGGTACTCCGGGGCATTCCAAGATTACAATTTTCTTTGGTTAATTGAACACTCTTAACTGTCCAAATTTCATGTGAGTGGTTGTTTGCTGAAACTGGCTGGAAATCGTAAGGATAAGGATTATCATGCGATATATTTTTTGTTGTTATTTTCAAGTATGCCTTGTTATTGAGTTCATTCATAAACACTGTAGTTCCGATCATAATTTCACTCTGATATCTGAGCAGGTGATTACTGATGTGTTTCAGTTGTTTTGGCAGACATAAAAAAAAAAGACTTAATTAGAACAAAAACAACCTCATTAGCCTATGATTAACAGTATTGTACAGTGTTTGCGTGCACAACACTCACAACCAGCATGGGCTCTGTGATTCATTTCCATTCCACAACATGAGTCAAGAGGCAAAATTATGGTTAGTGGACAGAAATACGTCATCATCATTGCCATCCTTGTTTTCCGCTTATCTGAGGTCGGATCACGGGGGCAGCAGTTTTAGCAGTGAAGCCCAAACTTCCCTCTCCCCATTCACTTCATCCAGCTCATCTTGAGGGAACCTGAGGCATTTGCAAGCCAGCCGGCAGAAATAGTCTCCCCAGCGTGACTTGGATCGTTCAGAAAGTGTGCCCACACTTGCTCTACACCTTTCACCGTGGGCAACTCGAGAGTGGAAGAGTGTCCAACCCCTTTCGAGAGAACTGGTAGCAGAGCAGAGCCCAAGCTGTGTGTGGAGGCGAGTTCAATTATTTCTAGTTGGAACCATTCTGCCTAACAACACCAGCTTGGGTTCTTTCCCAGCCAGAGAGTTGACATCCCATGTCCCTAAAATTAGCTTCTGTAGCTGGGGGTCGGACCGCCAAGCTGTCTGCCTTTGGCGACTGCCCAGCTCATAGAGCACCCAACCCCTTTGGCCCCTCCAACACCACCAGACTCTCGGCAATAAGTCCCACCACCAGGCCTGGCTCCAGAGGGGGGCCCCAGTGACCTGTAGTCGGGCAAGGGAAAACTATCGTTGCAAAATTTTCATTCATCATAAGGGGTCTTTTGAGCCGTGCTTTGTCTGGTCCCTCACCTAGGACCTGTTTGCCATGGGTGACCCTGCCAGGGGTTTACAGCTCCTAAAAATTTTGTTCCTGGCATCATTGGGACACACAAAGCCCACCGCTACTGTAAGGTGATGGAGGGAATGTTTTTAATCTCCATAAAACATGATCTACATATGAATACATTTACATTTATGGCCCTTTTTGTGAAGGACCTACCCCAGCTGTCTTCGGGCAGTAGGCGGGGACACCCTGAACCGGTTTCCGGCCAATCGCAGGGCACACAGAGACAAACAACCATCGGCGCACACACTCACACTTAGGGACAATTTCAAGTGTTCAATCACCCTGCCATGCATGTTTGTGGAATTTGGGAGGAAACCGGAGTACCCGGAGAAAACCTTGGAGAACATGCAAACTCCACACAGGAAGGCCAGAGACGGGATTGAACCCACGACCTCTGCACTGTGAGGTCGACACGCTAACCACTCGATTACCGGGCCGCCGTATAACTGATCATGTGATTGTTATTTTCCACTTTGTGTAGCGTGAGCGTGGTTGTCGCACAAAACCTCTTAAGAGACTATTTGGGATTAATGAACCCCGTCTCGCCGCCATGTAGTTAAATGACAGAGAGCATCATTCTCGCTCTTCAAAGAACACAATCAGGATTGAAGGGCATTAATGCAATGAGTGCAGTGGGGGTGGCGGTTGTTCTACACTGACTCTATGCCAGAATCAAGGGCACTGACAGTAGCAATCATCTTTACGGCACGTTAATGCTTAAAAAGTGTCCTGGGCACGCTCAAAAGTATTGATGGGCAACCAAAAGTCAGCATTTGCGTTCTGTGCTGTTGGTATTCAAGCTCAATATTCAAACAGTTTGATGTGAGCTGACATTTCCTACTTTTGTAGATCTGTCAGTCGTCTGCGCTAGGCTGCAAAATTCCATATTTGCTATGATATGAAAGTGCTTCCAATGCAGATCTCTTATCAGGTCAAAAGAGGACTGTTTTCCACAGATAACATATCTGCTTTTTCAGCAATCGGCAGATATTTCCACTGTTAAGATATATTATTAGGGGTTTTCACCCCCGTCTATCACAGTATGCTACAGCAGTATGGGATATAATTTGGTGCTTTTTACTTTAAATATGTGTTAGTCGTATCGTGTGTGGCAAAACAGCATGAAAGGAAGAAAAAAAAAGTCAGATTCAAGGGCAGACACAATATCACCTTCTGCAGATGGCCTTAGTCCCAAAGTCTTGGGAAAAAAATCTCAAAATTCATTGAGCAGTGTTATTTCTTAAGCAGGACAAACACAAAATGTAAAGTATACAGGATAGGAAACCTGCAGTAAATTATGGTTGAAACTGAAAAACAAACCAAAGACCTGTATGACAAAGCAATTTTTTAAGGTTTTCTTTTTTTTTTTTTTTTTAAAGCAGAGACACATACTCTAAAGAGTAGTGAAAGGTGAATAGTTTAAAAACACAAAGTACTTTAGGGTAAAAAAAAATAGGTGCTTTCAAGGAAGCTTGTGTTTATGTTGTTGTAATTATACTTATATTCTACACCTATGATGTGGTGAGTGTGGAAATTGTTGGTCAAATTTGAAATGCATTGCTTGCTTCTGCAAAACCTGAGCCCTGCAACCATAACAGGGCTGAAAAAAACCCGCTAATGTGATTAAACACAGAGCTTTGGGAGGCTTGGAGGGGGAAAAAAAGAAACTCCATCGTCTGTGGAAGCGGCAAAAGACAGCCTTTTGAAATGAGGAGAAAAATCCTCCCCGGTTTAGCTTTTCTCTGAAAGATGCTTCGGAGCAGGAGGAGAGCACTTTCTCAGGCCACTTCTGAGGACAACAAGCTCATCTGCTGCTCTGTTTAGAAGTCGACGTGTATCCCTTTTCTGTTTATCGAAAAATCCAGATGACTCACTCTTCTGATGCAATATTATTTAACGGAAAACAAAACTTAGACTGAGTGTATATCACAGGTGAGAAAAGAAACAATTTGTTCAAATTTTGTCCGTTTTTTTTTTTTCCCAACCCCCCACTTTTTAACCTCTTTCACCCCAGCGACAACCAATGCAACTGAGAAAGTCATGTGGAAAATTGATTCGGCTTATCACAGTTTTGAGGTGATAATAAGGGTTTGATTTGAGCAAACCATATGAATAAATAATGAGAATATGCCTGAACAAAAGGTGCATTTGCAAAGGTGGAAAGCGTGAAGAGCGACAACCATTCACTGAGACAAAAAAAAAAAAAAAAAGCGGCGCAAATCTCATTTTCCTTCCCATCCTGCTTTGCGGTGGCATATTGAGAGGCAGCCCGGTGTGAAGATCCGTCACTGTCGGGGGAAATGCAGGTTGTCAACTGATAATGAAGCGCATGGCTACAGGCCTTCAGCTCCTTGCTGGTCTAATTATGCCCAATAAGAACCCTCCACCTTTGTGTTAACATTTGATTTATTCCTACCTGCTTGGATAAAAGGGCCCGTGTTATGATTGTATTTCTTTCTTTTTTTTTTTTTTTTTTTTTAACAGATGATAGTCAAACTCGGAAGAACCATGCGTCATTAATTAAAGGACACAAGGGCACACTGTCGCTCCCGATCGTGTTTTTAAAGGCATTGTCTTGGAAACAGCGGAACCTTGAAAGTACAATTTGACATAAATCTTCGGGGGTGGGGAGATTGGACAGCATTGTAATTTCACTGATTCATGCCTGCCTCGCAGTTCTGAGGTTCTGGGTTTGATTCTCAGCTTCGGCCTTCTTGTGTGGAGCGCTGCAGCTGCTCCAGCCTCCTTCCACATTTCAAAATATGCACGTGGAATTAATTGAAGAGAAATTCCTCTCACTTTTGTCTGCCACACTCTTTCTAGTTATAAATAGTAAGTCCTCGCAATGAATTCAGCTCCTCTGAAAGCTTTAAAATTATATTTTCCCTTTGTTCCCAGATTTAAAAAAAACAAAACATTGCTTTGTGTGGATCGAAAAAATACGTAATATGTCTTTTAGAAGCACAGAAGGGGCTTGTCCTTAGAAAAAAAATGACGGCGACCCTGTCAGAGAATGTATGTATTGTGTGTTTTCTGCAGCAAATTGAACTGGCATTTTTGTTTGGTATTCGCAGAGTTGTCAGTGGGTGTTTGTGCTTGCTCTCTTTCGAGCTGCTTATCCACTCCGCATTGAAATTGAAGCCTTAGAAGGTGTTAATTTAGCTCCAATTGAGAAACATTTTCTCCTGCAAACCTTAATCAATAATTGCGACAGGGTGTGTATATTTCTTCCCGCATTATGGGTATCGCCTACAGTACTGGGCATGGATTGTTGTCGGTGAGAGTGCAAATAAATGAGCGGATGAGTCAACCGTTTTGCTGACACCGTCTTTCCCGCGCAGGGCTACGACGATGGCTATGGGGGCGAATACGACGATGACAGCTACGATGCCTACGACGATAATTTCAGCAATCAGTCGAAGAGGTGACGCTTACACACGGTTCAATCATTCAGCATTTGTTTTTGAAGTTTGCTGTTAACTCGCATGCATCTCTTTGGCGCCGGCATTTGGCATGTACACACAAAACATCTCCATGTCTTGTTTTATTCTTCTTCGCCAGCAAAGATTTTAAATGGAGTCATCGTTTTGTCATCTTAACTTCATGCATCGATTGAGCATGATGTACAACGTATCGTGACTACTTGATCATTTTGACGTCTTTATCATTTAGCATCTCGGAATATTTTGAATATGGGCAAGGAACAAATGACGACGCCTATAACAACTATGGTAAGTGACTATGGTAGCATATTTTTTCAATGTACCTGATTGCATTTGTGGCTTATATGTCACATTTTTTAAAAATGTAATTATTGTACAGTCTATGTAAGCGTATGAATAGAACTATTTCAATATAAATACACGATTGTTCAAAGGTTAGAGGGTGTCTACTTTTAAAATATGTTTTTGCCACATTCATAATACCTCGTTTGTATCTGTGATTAATGTGAAGTCATCTCTAAAAAATAAATAAATAAAACAGTCCTTTCAAACATAAGCACATTTCTAAATGAACTGAAACTTTTGAACTGTACGACATATAAGGTGAATCACGAAAGTAAGTACACGCCTCACATTTCTGTAAATATTTGTAATAATTTATGTGTCTTTGGCGATACTCAGAACAGTATTTTTTTTTCAAGAATTATTTTCAAGAAAGGTTGCATATGCTGAAATCAAAAGCTATTTCAATCAAAAACATTTAAACAGCTCAAATGACATTTTAACATGGGACTGGTTTTTTGACAGCAGTTGGACACAATCAAAACAACAACAAAAAATCATTTACATAATAATTTGGAACGCGGTGTAGTGAAGCATTGCTGCTTCTTTTGTTAAAACCATAAATGAGGCACATTGAGATGTGACTTCATACTTCCTATACTGTAATAGGTTATGTCCTGGGACTGCTGAACAAAATAAGCCTCACAGCTAAAGAAGAGCCAGTGTGTTCATCCCAAGGCACAAACAAGGCAGACATGCACGACCTCACTCCTGGAAATAAGCCCGAATACGGGGCAGGCGTGAATCAGCATTAAAAAGTGTTGCGTTAAAGACAGTTTGGGTAACGCGCTAATTTGACGTCCCAAATAAATATATTCAATCGGCTTCAGGATCAAACATTTTTAGAATTTTAATCCATTCCGAATAACTACTTTTGATCAGATGATCCTGTTATTGTCATCAGTAAATGCATAAGCCTCACAGCTAAAGAAGAGCCAGTGTGTTCATCCCAAGGCACAAACAAGGCAGACATGCACGACCTCACTCCTGGAAATAAACCCGAATACGGGGCAGGCGTTAATCAGCATTAAAAAGTGTTGCGTTAAAGGGAGTTTGGGTAACGCGCTAATTTGACGTCCCTAATAAATATATCCAATCGGCTTCAGGATCAATCGTTTTTAGAATTTTAATCCATTCCGAATAACTACTTTTGATCAGATGATCCTGTTATTGTCATCAGTAAATGCATTGGAAATGTTTGCAAGCCACCATTGATTCCCTCGAGGCTCCAACTGCAGTCAGTGTGCCAAAAGAAAGAAGCGCCGGGAAATGACGGATGCGCATTGTGAAGGTGGACGGTTTTGCCTCTTGGATGTGGGCCCTTGACGGCTCATTCCAGACGAAAAAACAAAATGAATCCGACCACAAATTTTTTCCAACAAAAAACACCTACTGACCTGCTTGTCACAGGTTGGTGGCACAGTCAGACAGTTGCCGCGGCTTTGCAAGCTTTTTGCACAGCCAAATTCGCACTGCAGTGTTGATGATGATGACCAAAAACCAAGAGGCCACTGATTTGATTTTCTGCTCCATAAACATTTTCCTATTTGGAAGCCTGCTCAATGTGCCATGCACAAGAGGTGGCCGCCTTTTTGTAATGTGACTTTAAGGGAGGATGGAGCTGCTGGCTGTCAAAGCACATCAATGCTCCAACAGAGGCCAAAGTCCTTGTAAAGTTAATTTTGTGGAGAATTTCTTTTCAGATTCACTGTGATTCAGTCACTGTGACAAAATGCGATACCTGTGCACACTAACGCCGATGCTTTGACTGGTTTTCCAGAGGAGGAGTGGCCCATTTCCCGTCCCAGTCTCAAAGCTCCAGTTCTACAGTTGACAAGATGGGGATACAGAAAACATCCTTACAATCGATACTGAAGGTGCCCCACATGTGACCTGCAATTTATGTCAACTTATTAATACTCATGTCAAATCCTTTTTTTATTTTTGTCCGTTGCACTCAGATAAGCCCTTGAAGCAGTGGCTTTTCAAAGTGAGATGCAAGTGCTTGAGAAAAATAAAAACAAAAATACTTGAGCAATATCTCCAAAGCAAGTTCAGTTCCGAGAGTGAGTCTGGGGAGAGCAGATCGCTGCATCAATTAAATGAGGAAAATCAGTGTGTGTGAAAGAGATCAGGTGCAATTATTATTAAAAAATATATCAAAAAAATGTTCTCTGTTAAGTCGAGTTTTGCACGGTGTGCAGTTATGAATTCTGTTGGTGTCAGAACCCACTGTGATGATTCAAAAAAGCAGTTTGTAATTTGTGATTAAATTGACACTTTGGAAATTCCTTGCTCGAAAGCACATCAACTTGCATCATAATTGGGGGAAAAAAAGCTATCTACACAAATGTAAAAAATGAAAAATAGCACTTTTTAAAAACAATTTATGGTGCTATTTTATTTATGTATTGCCTTGAATCCCAAACACCGTCAATGCAAACATACGGCGCAATAGTTTTCCCTTGGTGGTGAGCAAGTTTGTGACTCGCCAACAATTCCAAATGATCTAAATGCACCCTCAATTCTCATGAAAAATGAATCCGAAATGACTTCTGTACACCACCTTTAGTGTGCAATTTTGTAATTGCAGGTTTGTGATCACTGTATTGTTTGGAAGTAATTACATGTTTGACAAAAAAAAAAAAAAACAATAGGAAGGAGAAAGTAAAGCAAGGAATAAAACCCAATTCTAAATGACCCCCGTGTTTCTCTCTCCGTGATGATGTCGTGTTAAAAAGGTCTAATTAGGTCTAACCAGCTCTTTCTTCATTCATAACCGTTTTTTTTTCTCTGTGGTAGAAAGCAATCAAGCAATGTACAGTCTGTACTTTCTAATTAGTGCTTTTATTCTGTGTGTCTGACCTCTTTGTACATAGACTATTTAATAAAATCAAATCTAAAGCCCTGCACCGTGTGAAAGACTCTCTGAATACAGTAGGTGGCTATGTATGTGTGTTTAATTTTTTTACACTTTCATTTGCTGACAAAATGCAACACCGTTTATGCGATTAAATATTTGCATTACTGACACCTACTCATTGCTTTAGGAGCCCACGAAGATCTTCTATTTATCATTTAAATCGATGCTTAAACATCCTTGACACGTATAACATCCTTATGTAAGAATTTGTTTTGTTCCACCGTAATCCATCTTGTGAAGTTTGACGTCAATAAACAGACTGATTGACTTTGAGAATCATATGCTGTTAAAGAGGTAAGAAGTCCCCTTATATTGTGTTATCTTAACTATTAAATCAAACTGTGACTTAAGACCACAACTAACATACTTCTTGGAATTTCTGAGTGAAAAATTGCAGCGTTGATCTGCCTACTCTTCGATGTCTCTAACGTTTTTTTTTTGTTTTTCTGTCATTGAATTTGAGATCTTGCGATGCATCTCTTAAACCTCATCGCTGCTGTCCAGATAAACTCTAAACAGGTAATTAAATACTGATGTAATATTCAAATCTAACAACCACTAACAAAAAAGTAAACCTGCCCAGAATAAACATTCCTGCTGATTTAAAAGTTCCTCTAATTAGATGCTTATAATGGCTACATTTTTACAAATGACGCTAAACTGCACTAAAATTCTGTTCTAAATGTCACATGAATTCAGTTCAGAGCTATCCTCCATTCAATTCCAGGCTTTTACTTTCGATTGGTTTACTTTTTTCACAGTGATAGAATGCAGTGACCTCTCACATGCATGAATGCCAGGATTTACCAAGTTATTATTTTTGATGCAAAATGTAATTTGTTTGCTTTCTTTTAGGTATTAAAGCACCATCGGTGGTCAAGACGTATGCGTCATAAAACAGGTGAGTGGATGCATTTACACCAACGTTATAAAAGAAACCAATAAAACTAACCCCCTTGCATGCGTACGATTGTGTAACATTGTGGTTATCCTCATTTATATAGACGGGCAATATACATAAATTATTAGGTTTGGCTCATATATCTCTCCGCTGGTTAAATCAAATACCAATAAACGACTGTAAAGTTTTCTGTTTATTTTCATTCACCGTGTGCTAAAAATGTCAACAAAACATCCGCACAAGATGGTTGAACGCGCTTTAAAAGGTGCATGTCTCCTTTGTGTTTCGTGCTGCAAGATTGAAATGTCGTTTTTTTCCCAAATATCAGCTCATTTGAAACTTCCCATAGGGATTGCAAAGAGCTTTTTTTTTTTTTATAACTCTGACAGCCCATTAGAAGACAATAGAACACGGGTCTACAATAAAGTACAGTAGCCTAAGCTCAAGCAGTGAAATCCATCTTTGCAGAGCTGCGATTTGATTGGATGAACATGAATCAATCAATCATAACTGATTCTTCACAATATTTGTGTCGATGAAATGTTATGTAGCCCCGCAATTAGTTCACCATTAGTAGTTCACCTGAATGGGCCACTGCCTGAAAATCACAAGTCACTTTTTTAAGTGCACCTGCTTTGATAAAACACTTAGCTGGACTTTTTTTTTTTTTAATACCACTTGAAAACAAGATCAGTATCAAATCATTTTCCTGTATATGGATAATACTTTAGAATTTTAGTTGGCACTCCAGATGGGTTATATGTAGAACATACTTTTACTTAACAGTCTACATTAAAAAGTGACATGCTGTATTTGTTTTCTTTTAGGACCATGTAGACTGCAGAAACTGCTACAAGAGGTCAGGTTCAGCGCTCATCATTGGTTAAGACTGCAGCGTGGTATGTATGCATATTTTACAGGAAGACTAAACATGTTTTCACACAGTTCAATGTACTTCGATTCTGTACTGAAATGTCTTTTAATAAAAACGTGCACATTGACTTCCCTAACTCCCCGTTAAAGGGTTGTAGACCACATATTTGTCGTCTTTTTTTTTCAATCGGATTAATATTTTTGGAATATGAGATAACCAGCAAAATCCAAATGTTTTCATCCATCTCGGGGGGCGGGGGCGCAACACAGTTGCCCAAGCCTCTGGTAACAACCAATCACGGCTCAGCTTCAGAAAACAGGTGAGCGATGATTACCTGAGTCACTGTGATGTCAAAATCAGTCGACAGAAAGTGGCAAAATGGCGCCCCCTTGAGATGTCTAAAAACGTTGATTTTACTTCTTAACTCATAACTCCACAAACGCAATATTAATCAGAATGCAGTGATTAGACTAGTGTGTGTGTGTGTGTGTGTGTGTGTGTGTGTGTGTGTGTGTGTGTGTGTGTGTGTGTGTGTGTGTGTGTGTGTGTGGTGGGGGGGGGGGCATATAACATATCACTGTAAAGAAATTCTTTGGGTTGACTTCGCCTTCAAAAAAAAAGAATGACTATATACCTGTATAGTTCAAAATTTGTGTGGTCAACATATCAGTTGTTTCTCAACATTACAACTTATAACTTATGTCTTTGCTGAGCCCCTCAAGCACTGAAATAAATACACAAACAGCATGTGACCCAAAAAAGAATGTAGGTACATTTATGTCTTCTTTTCACATTTTTTTTTACACTTTTTCATATTCCATTTTTTAAAAGTAAAAAATTTTAGCAACCTTCTGCATTATTTTTCCTACATGGCTGCACTGTATAACTTCAATTTTTACATCCTGATAAGTGTTAATGTGATGTCTCAATATACTCTACATATACTGTATGTCATTTTTTATGCATGCATCCATTTGTAAAATTCCTTCATAAATCCATTTCACAACATGCTTGTCACTGCAGTTTTCTGAGGGTGCGAATGCAACTGATGAAACTCCTCTCCCATTCAGATTACATGCAGGATTTTCCAAAAGGATCCTTCTACTCACTGTGTATTTGTCTTGTTTTGCAGAAATACTTGAGTCTAAGGTGCTTAAAGACTTCTCAGCTGTCATCACATTTCTTTATCCTTCAGTCCACACAAAGAGCCACTCTGTGTTTATTTTCCATGACACAGCCCTCGGAGCAGAATGCGGCATGAAAGTGGACGCGCCTTTTTGTTGACAGAAACACAAACATTTTTGGGGCTTGTGTTTGGATGAGATGGCAAGGACTGAGTTTGACTGACAGTAACTCGCTCCGCTAAGTGATGCATTTAAATTGTGGACTGCGGAGTATTGGTGGCGAACATGAATTCTGTGACACCTTCAACAATCCAAATACTATAAGGTAACATTTTTTTAATTGTAATAAGATGTGAATATAGTTAATTGACATGTTACTGAAAAAAGAAGCAACTACAGTACTGATACTAGCTGAACCTACATTAACCAGGTTTTAAAAATAAGCAGTGGGAACCTTATTTTTTTATGACTGTTTTGTTTTGTGTATCATTTCATTGCCTCATCATTACTGATACCCTTTTGAATGGGTGTTTACACACAAAAAAGAGAGAAAGCAATAAACATTTAAATTTGGGATTGTTTAACTTTGTTTCCACCTTGTGTTTTGGATTTTTGGAGACTAGGGTTATGTTCCAAATAATAGCAATGTGTTTTAAAAAGTGAATGAACCACAAGATCTTTATAAGAGTTTTAATTTTCTCTTCACTCAATGCATTGGTAAGACTGCACATTCTATTCCAACCGAACCCAAATTCCAACCCAGGACTATTAAACTACATGTCATGATTGTCACATTGCAAGGTGGTGGTGGACCCCAAAAAGCAGGCAAGAGGGAGGAGCAGGTTGTACTTGGCAAATTGTGTTAAAATACTAAGGAAACAAAATCCAGAACACACAAAGTCTGGAAAACAAATCCAAAGTAGCAAACAAAACCATGGCACAAGCAAAAAACAAAGTGATAAATGCAAACCAACAGAAACCTTGACAGCGGCTAACATGACAGAAGCAAACAACGACGTGCGTGGTCGGCTGGGAGTCCTTTTATACTAATAATTACATAACGACCAACAGGTGTGCAGCTGCAGGGGGAGCCCTACAGTGCCACCTGTTGGTCACAAACAGAATCATGACAATGATATGCATGACAAAAAAATGCTCCCATGATTTGAGCTTTTCCAACAAAAACCCAGCTGAAGAATACCCAATGTATTTTATTGAAATAAAATGACACATGATGTGAAACCAATGGCTGAGAAACTGAACTTATGAATTTTTCGAAATTAGCTAAAATTGTGGACAGAATTGCCTATAGTTCTTTCCTCAGCATTTTTTTTTTTTTGTAAGTAATGAGTCACATGGTAAGGGCGAGGTTTTAAAATTTAATGCTAATTTAGCCAATAGTTTTACTTTGTCATTCATCTGTAAGAAGGATCTTCGTGGTTGAATAAAATACCACTTCTGTCTTTTAAGTCACGCAATATCCCGCTCAGCGTAATTTGATGTTTTGTTTTATAAGGCTTGACAGAAATGGTGTGAAATATTAATGTGAAGAAGAACACACCAAATGTTGCAAAATATTCATGTGCAAACTTATGCAGCGGCATGATGATACCATCTTGCTGATGTGTTTAAATTGGCTGAGAAAGCAGGAGACGTTTTCACATTCTGCATGCTGTGACTTGGTTACTGGCTGGTAATGCATGCAGCGGCCGCGTTTGAACAATAAACGATGGCTCGTTGATCTTTGGTGATAATGTTTCATGGCATTTCCTCAAATAAACAGCAATTTTATCCTAACAAGAGACAAAATGATTGTTTCAAATAGTGAGATGAGATAGCGAGCGAGGGAGGTCGTTTTCTTTCCATCAGGATCTCAAGGACGAGTTGATTGTCTCTGGCTCTCTAGGCTGCCCCTCAATCAAGCGCATCGGGCAAGATGTCAGATGTGTGATGACACATTGTAACTGCGGGATCCATAGAGGCACGCAGTGGATTGAGGGGAATTAGCAGCGCAAGAAAAACAATTCCGAATATTTTAGCTCAGAGGCTTACTGTATGGACATACAGTGCACAAACACCACACGATAATCACATTTTTTTTTTTTAAACCACTTTAGGCAGGCGACTGGTTAATACATTCACCTCACAGTGCAGAGGTGCATGCTCTGAGTTTCCGAACGGTCAGAGTGGAGCAGAGCCCGCTCAGAGGCTCCTGGTGGCTGGATTACTGGTTGTACAGCACGCACACACACACACACACACACACACACACACACACACACACACACACACACACACACACACACACACACAAATGCTTTTCTTTCAAAAAAGGCAAACTATATAGTTCAAGGGAAAAAAAAACGATTTTAAAATGGACACAGGTTGACTCTTCAAGTCATGGCTGTCATGAATGTCAAGTCAATGTCAAGTGAAATCTTTCACAAGTGTTTGCCAAGCAAGTCGGGAGTCATAAAATCAGCGACTCCAGTCCCCCACCTCTGCAATTTTGTAAGATAATTAGCATTAATATGTTCATGAAAAAAACGTAGCATACTTTTGCCATTTCAATATTGTTAGTGTATAGTGAGTGATTGTTTCTTATTTACTAAAAATAGTCTTTGCCCAGTAGGCCATTTTAAATGGATCAAATATAATATTTTTGATGTTTTTCTGAGGCTGCAAAATATTACAATCACTACCACAAATGACAACCGTATTTCACTAGATTTGCTTAGACGGCCGCACGATGAGGCAGAATCCAAAATAAGATTTTAAAGTCACCTGAATTTTTAAAAAAAAAAAAAGGCCACTTTGAGAGCAGAGTCAGATTCCCTGACGGGTTTCTGGTGATTTTCATTTTGTTTGCTGTGACAGCAAGCTGGGATCTAAGCCAGGTGACAGAAGGTAACGGTGTTTAGATTGAGCTGCACATTTGTTTTAGGAAAATGTTCACCACCGCAGAGCGTCTGCCATTTCAAAGTGCATTTAGTATGAAAGCCTTCTCCCCCCCCTCGAGCTCATTAGTTATTTTTGCAGCGATGATGAGCTTTGACATGTGTTGTCGGTGCTGGGATAGACTAAACAGTGAGAGCACTGCGCCAACATTTTGCCACAAATAAAGCATTGGCTGGTTTTCATGCAAATTTCCATTTTCCAGTTGAAGAATGTTGCAAATGTTGAAACAGCACCACAATGCAATGCTGCAGAAATGTCCCACTGGAAAAAAAGAATCTGCTGATTTCACATTTTAGGTCCCAGGTGTTACTTCTTTGCATTTAAAAAAAAACAAAAGATGCTCCAACTGTCTTCAAACAAGGACGCTCATACATAATGCAGATACAAATATCTTAATATCGACATTAAGTATGTTTAGGTCTTTTGACCTTTACTTTGACCTTGAATTTCATTCACCTTGTGGACTATGCGACCTTAAGATAAACTTTCCTGAATTTCAATCCCAAACATCCATCCATCCATCCATTATCCAAACTGCTTATCCTCATGAGGGTCGTGGGCGGGCTGGAGCCTATCCCAGCAGTCTTCGGGCAGTAGGCGCCATCCACCCTGAACTAGTTGCTAGCCAATCGCAGAATTCCCAACATGTTAGCTAAAATATATAAACATTCTACAGGAGTAATATATTTTGTTTTTCTGCAAATTGATGCAAAAGAAATTATCAGGTGTGCCACGAGAAATTATCCCATGTCAATTATTTGGATGTAAAGTTATTTATTTTTGTATTCATTTTTTTTTAATTATTCATTTATCTATGCTTACCATGGAGTCACGAGCAGAACACTCAAACGCTCTCATGTGATGACAGAATGTACATACTGTTACAGTGACAGTATTGTCATCCTCGGTGTCACTCACAACACAGATGTTATATTGCTCAAGGTTTCCATCCTGCCAATCTGTAATATGCTACAAAAGGGTATAATATATGACATACTGTATATTATAAGAGAGGGATATATATAGTTACTTCTTCCATAAACGTGTTTGGAATGGAGAGAGAAGCTTATGTGTGTGTGTGTCTCTCTCTCTCTCTCTCTCTCTCTCTCTCTTGCTCTCTCTCACTCTCTCTCTCTCTTTCTCTCTCTGCCTCTGTTGAAAAATAGTATATTTAAAATCCCTGTTGAATTCTCCTTTCACTTATAATAATAGATTTCATTTTGAACATTTCCGAGGAATCGGGGTGTAAAAGTTGGGTTCCACGCCCGTTTTTATGAAAATCCGAAAATTTCTTCCAAACCGCTGGTGCGGTGTCATTAAAATCTTGGATTTCATGTTCTAAAACAGATTACCTCCTTTGGGTAAATTAAGATGCAATGAGCCTACTGTAAAATGACTTCAAAACAAGAAATACAATAAACCACAATATAGCGGGGCGAGGGGGTGGCTCTGTATGTACAAAGTGTGAATTCACTATGATAAAAAATATATAATCCTAACTATATATTTTTTTTTAGGCAGAGGCTGCAACGATTTTTTTCTGTATCACGGTATTTTCTTTCATTTCATTTTCAAGCAAGCTAAAATTGACAAGACAATTTGTCCTCTCATTATATCGTCATACCCTGTTATATTTTCATGTCTTCGCTGAAGCACAGCACGCCAAAATGGAAAACAAGTCTCTCATCACTTCTCTGCAGTTGTTTACCACGTTTTTCACTTACGTATGCTGCTTCCATCTCATTCACTGGCACCTCATTGATCATCTTCCCGGCCTCCTCACGATGCAAATTAAATCCCAGTCATTATTTCAGGTGAGGAGTTACAATCGTGCAAGTCCAATCAGCTTACACGAGGCGTATACAAGGCAGACAATGAAGGCTTCAATGTTGTTTTTCATTGCTTTCATCTGCGCACCCCCTCCTGAGGTCAGAGCAATGACATGTCAGATAAACGCCTCAGACGACAGCAGCTCTGATGGCGGTGTCAAGTTCAGCATCACCAATGTCCCCAATGAGGTGTTTTTTTTTCTGGTTTAGCACAAATGTTTATTTCCTTTTCACATCTGAGTTGTTGGATTCAATGGGGACAACAAAAGAAGCTAATCGAATTGTTATTTGAATGCCCGTGGGCACTCACACTTGTACTAATAATAATAATACAGTCAGCAGATGATCAAGGTCATGTTAGAATGTTGAATCAATACTCAGAGCATGACATTTTCTCAAATCAAAGCAAAGTGTCAAATTTACCAGATGCCATCTTTTTGGAAAATGCAATGTAGCTTTTGGAACTTATTGCATTCAGGCAAGTAAGCTATCTTTACAAAGGCAGTAATGATCAGTTTTTGATTGATAATGAGTGTTAACCAATGACACTTTCTTATTGGACTTTTGTACAATTGTACCAATGCTGTGGCTCTTGAGTGTTTCAGTATATTTCACTCCAGGGCTCCATTTCAATGGTAATGTAATTTAATGTTAAGGTACATCGTATGCATTTTTGATATTTTAATATTTGTGTTGTTCCACCCTCGAGGTTCACAAAGTTATGTAAAGGAACGGTCCCGTGTTCCAGCCTCAAGATACCAATGGCCGCATGTCAAGGTTTCTGGGTATGTTGTGCCAATACGTAGCTTCAAGAATTGTTTTGACGACATGAACGTTGAGTTATGGCACACACACTTTGCTTTAATATGACTTACATCAATATAATAAGATTCACATGGCCTTAAGTTAATATAAAGCCTTGACAAAGCATACATCGACATTACAGGGGTGCAAAACTGCATAAATTGTTGCCCTAAACTAGAATTGGATCTCAGGCTAGCGAGGAGTCGTGCTTGGTATGACGCCTAGTTTTAACATATTTTTTTTCAGGGTTTTTTTTTCTACATCAATATAATAAGATTCACATGGCCTTAAGTTTAATATAAAGCCTTGACAAAACATACATCAACATTACAGGGGTGCAAAACTGCATATAAAACTAGAATTGGATCTCAGGCTAGTGAGGAGTCACACTTGGTATGACGCCTAATTTTAACATTTTTTTTTTCAGGTTTTTTTTTGTTTCAGCAGAGGGCATGAAGACAAATACCAAGCAAGTCATCCCAACCTACGAAAGCTGCAGACAGAAGGTACATTGTGACGGATATAAGCATCTGACAAGACACGTCAGGTAAAATCTTAAGTGTGTTTTGACAGCAGCATTTTTTTTTAAATTTAGGGTTTGGAGCCACTGGATCGGTAGATGGCGGCTCCTCCACACAAAATGGATATCCTCAGAACAGACACCTTCGACAAGCTCACCAGACCTTGGACAACAATTTAGGTACAGTATATGCTCAAAATATCAACAGCGATCCCATGTAAAGGTTTTATTGACAGTTCGATACGGTTTTCGGTACGTAGCGTGCCAAATGATTCAAGAACGGTTCGATTATAAAGTGGAACGATTCAGTTCGACTCAGTGGGGTTTACGATTCGATTTGAGATGGTACGGTTCAGTTCGAGTGGGTATGTTACCAATGAATTTTTCGGTGTCATGTTACCTACATTTCAATGATCCTGTCAGCAACGTAAATGTGCCATTTCGATGTCGAAGATGTATCTCTCCAGAAGAACACGAGATGAGACGTATCTTGATATATTTTCAAAGTGGAATGATTCCTTTCTACGCAGTCGCATCATTTAAATCAAAAACTGATTTAGCGCTTCAAACCATCTTTGCTAGACCACTTTTTTTTTATCGGTTAGGCCTATGATAAAATATAGGCAAATGAAACCATACGTTTATACGCATGACAGTTTAGCTACTTCAATTGAAGTTGTTTACTTATGAAATGCTTTTACTGACAGCCTCATTCACTACAACAATCACAAATTCTACTTAACACGCGTGGCGTGTTTTGACCCTGTCTAGATGAAATGGCAGATGGCCTGAGCCGTCTGAAGAAACTCGGGTTGGGTCTGCAGTCTGAGATTGACAGCCAGAATGACCTCATCGATTCTCTGGGCAACAAAGTGGACAAGATGGACACAAAGATCAATAACACAAACCAGCAGATTAAAAGGCTCAAATAAAAATAAAAAAAATTGCGACTTTAGACCTCACTGACATCTTACAAGTCATCACTTGATTTTACATCATGTCCTGATCAAGAAAATACTTGCAGAATATGTTTTGTTTTGGGTTTTTTTTTTTTTTGCTTCATTTGTATTTGTAAATGTATGTCCCTCCCCCCACTACCAATCCTAACATATTTGGATTGTGTGCAGCAAAGGAAATACTCCATGTTCGTAAATTTGGAAGTGGTCTTCATCAGTCTATGCACATGCATCTCTCTAAATATGAATATTGTGTAAAACTTCGATTCAGTCAAACAATATGTACGAAAAGTGCTGCCTTACAATTATATATATATATATATATATATATATATAGTTTTGTTTTTTTTTTTTAGAAAATCTATATAATGACTTTCAGCTTTTTCCAGCAGGTAGGACCAGCAGTGTTTTGGGGTATTGGGAATACTGACCGGGAATCTGGTTGGGTATAATGGTTTAAAAATGTCATAATTTGTTATAAATAATACAGATGGAAAACACACTATTATTATTTAATGCTATTGGAACAAGACACTTTTTATATATAGTGCCACACCAAACGACAGTATCTGAAGAACTAACAAACCAATCACAACTGTCTGTGATTACTAGACTACAATAAGAACCAATAAAGTGAGACAAATTGCTATTTTTACAGCCTTCTATCTTACTCTAATTTGGAAGGAAGCACCCCTTTTGGATGATATCTAACCTGGAAATACGGAGAAAGGAATACTTTCTTTTTGCATCCATCAATCTCCAGGTAGCAATCTGGTGGACAACTTTGAGCTACAGCTCATCCATCTATCAACGTCAAATGGGAAATCCAGGGAATTGTTTTCAACATCGGTTTCCCCTCAGGCTATCACGGATTCTTATTTCCTGTCTGCTTCGGCCACTAACTCTTATGTCAATTCATGACGCATCAGCAAGCTCTTGTGCTCTGTCTACCCGACAACCCCTGCAGGGAGTCAGCACATGCATTCGGCTGCTTGAGTGTCGGAGCCATTACTGTATGCCCACCCCTGGCACATACACACGCCCCTCCTTTTGTCAAGTGGGCTTGCTTTCAACTTCTCCACTCAAACCACAAACATGTTAATAGAATCCATATCCGTAACCCAGTCACAAATGTGCAACACGAATCTACAAATGTAAACGTGTAACATAATTTTTGAGGGGGAAAAAACGGAGACCGTGATTCGAGAATCTCACCCACAACAAGTAACTGCTGGGCAGATTTGCTGAGTAGATTTAGTTATGATGCCAGCTATTAATTTCAATTATCAAGGCAGCTGGAGAACAGAATAGAACGAAAGCAATTTGTTCTGTACAGTATTATACTGATAGAAAAACCTAGAATATAAAAGGTTAGATTTTTAGCTGTACATGAAAAGAAACTGGAACTTATATATTGGGTAACCCAGCCTTTCACAACGATAAATTGAGTTCATGCGCAATCTTGCAGGTCAAACCTTTTTTTTCAACGGAGACGCTACGGTCACGTGACCAAGTGGCGCAAATCCTCTTGGTTCATTCAGCATCTTTGGTTCAAGGCAAATACGAATGACGTTGACATTCCTGCTAGGTGTGATTTAAACATCCATCCAGACGAAAATGACTTTGAATTGCCCCTGAGGATCGTGTTTTTATTTTGTTGCCGAAAGAAACAAATGGACATCAACAAAATAATTATGTACATTTTAGCAAGATGTCGCGCGTGAATTTATATATGTTGATGGTGTTGGTGATGAGCCACATGACACTGGCTGCAACTAAGAACGTTTCTATCGACCACTGCTATGGGGCGCGATTTCGCAATGCGTTACTGGAAAAATTCAACTTTGGTGGAGTGTTCATTGTACTCTACGGGCACTTTTTCTGCTTCGCGGTGAGTTTTTGCAAACCCTCCAACTCCCTCGTCCTTTGAAGGCTAGCTCGTCTATTTTTCTTCTTCGCCTCATTGTTCTTGTTTTAAGACTTCATCTTGTTTTGGTGATTGTTTTAGGGGGGTTCTTAGCGAGACATAGATGAAATCAATATATATCGATCAATAAATGTTCTACCTCTTATCAAATATAACTCCTTGGAGGAATTTAAATGCCTACCAATTAGCACTTAATTCTGTTGTACTTGCAGCTTGTGTTGTGTGTGTTCTGCATTCGTGTAATGACCGGAGGCTGGGGAAATGTCCCTCAAGAAGATCCGTAAGTGTCATAATGTCATGTACCGCTCTTGTTTTTGTTTGCTTTTACTATTTTCGTGGCATACGAAATACAACATTCAACAAACTCTTGGATCAGGATCACGATTAAGTGCCTTTATAGTGTCCTCACTCAGTCACCATTTAAGTGTAGCAGAATAATTAATCTCTGACGTTTTATTCTAAGTGGCCAAAACATTTGCACATACATACCAATACAGTGCAGTGATGTCTCCTAAAATGTGTTTCCTTCATTTTATACCAGTTGTTTCTACATTGTGCGTAAAACGTTGGTAAAGAAAACAAAGTCGTTTTGTTTACCTTTTGTATTTCCATAATGCAATACAGGTATTTTGCATGTCCCAGAAATTGCCTACCATCTTGTCATTATGGTGTAACTGCCACTTTAGGAAACCCTTAAATGTTTTAAGTAACATTAGTATTAGCATTTTGTATTTTATTGGCGATAAAACAACGACTAGTTATGAAAATAGGACCCTAAATGTTAATACAGTATGAGCCAAAACTTTATTACTTACCATTGTTCACCTTATAAACAAGCTCACGTACATCATTTTGCTATTCTCATGTACAGTATATTATTTGCTTGCAGTTAATTTATTTGAGGGTTAGGGAGTGGGGATGGGCGCATGATCAATTTTGAAAGTTACTTAATAAATTGGGAAGGCTTAAAGGAGGCATCTTGTTGTGATACAGTAATACCTTTTGTTTTTCTTCCCATATTCTGGTGGTGGCAAATATAGTAGAAATATACTTTTATAAAAAAAAAAAAAAGTATTGATTTCACTCCTTTAGTAAAAGTTTTTAAAAATGTACAACATTTAGGAATCATCAAAATAAACACACCAACACACGTGTGACATTATGCCAATTCAATGTGCTTGTACATACAGCGCGCTGTCTAACGTGGATGACACGATTGATGATGACAGTGACTCATCCTCATCTTCCAGTTCACCTACCCCTCAACCACACATGGGTTTTAAAGATGCAGTAAGTTGGTTGAAACGAGACAAATGAGGAGATATTGATGCGAGTTACCCCTCAAAAGGATGTTTTTGACATTTCTGTTCTCTCTCAAAGCGATTAATGTCCTGGGTTAATGACATGGTCCACATCAGGTGAGCGATAGTCAATATTTGAAAAAAAATTATTAAATTCGTGAGTCATACAATTTAAACTGGTTCCCCAGAATGGGATGTTGATTCTATTACTGTGATCTCACTGCAGTGAAAACGAGATAAGGAGGAAGTGTGAGGAGGATGTGATTAATTATTTGTCCTTCCAGCGTCACATCATTGGCCTGTTAATAATTGTGACTATGTTGTCTATGGGTGTCATCTTTCCCTTGAATTATGCTGGCAAACGTTTTGGTAAGTTTGTGGGAAATCCTTTTACAATTGTCTGAATACTCGTTTATGCTGATTACGGTGGAACTCAAGTCAAGGCCATAGTTTCAATGACAGAGCACTCGAACCCTGGCACCAATGCCATCGTATCCTGAGTTTCATATCAGTGGAAGACTCACTGTGTGCATTGGCAATTTGGCAGACTGCTCCGCGCCAACCTGGGCGTTCCGGCACAGGGAGGGGGTGTGGAGAAGTGCCCGGCGCAATGACAATTTGGTGTCAGTCGATCGAAACTTATACGCCTGCTCAGACCGTGTCTAAATACTGACGCAGCTGATCAAACACAATTTTGAATTTGATCAGGGCACAGGCAGACAGAGTCTGACATTCATGGACCTGTAATCAGACACATGGGACAATTTAAACGGAATGAAAATCAGCCACTTGAATGCGGATCCGCCAGCCTGCGCTCACCTGCAAAATTACCAACATCGGGTCTAACTTGCCTCCACACGGAGATAAGCCGCTCGCCATCCCCGATTCACACTGGTCATGAAAATTGAGCCCAGTCTGTTTTGTGATGCTTGTTGACTGAAGTTTTTACATTGTAAATTAAAGTGGTTTCATTTGTTCCAACTCAACCCAACTTTAAAATCAAGTTTAAAGTTATTTAATCATAGGAAAATAACAGTTTAATTTGACTAAAATCAAGTAAAAGTGCTCTCCCATGGAAGACGTTTGACAGAAGAGGTTACGGAAACAAAGAAAAGGAAGTTTACAGAGCATCACCGGTCACCTGGTTGTGATTTTTTTAGGTATTGCTGGAATTAATGAGACATTTGGGTTATTTCATTTATTGTTTTGCTCACATCGTACTGAGCTGCCAGGTTTTCACTGTTACTCAATAAAGCCAATGTAAAAGCAAAAGACAATTAATGCTAACTGAGCCAATACCTTTTAGGCATATTTTTCCAGAACATTTGGGTTGAACTTCAAATGAGACCACATTTACGTTCCACATATTCATTTGGGTCTATTAACATGCTTGAAAATCTCCAATGCCACCTTGATGCTATTAGGCTTGTTTTGCTTCCGCAGAAAAGGACACTCATTTTGGAAAATACACGATTGCAAATATGAATAGGTAAGTTCTTCATCATTTCATTGGGATGCGCTACATTCCTCTGTCATTATATCCCTGTCCCCGTTTTCGCTCACTCAGTGAAACAGGTTTGTGGGTGCACAACCTCTTTGCTGTCCTCTATCTCATCCTGACGGTGTACAGCATGAGAAAGCACACGCACAAGATGCACGACAGACAGGACGACATGGTGGGTGGCTCGGTCAAAGAGAGTTGTTAGAAAAGCACCCTCCACTCTTTTTGTCCACCAGTGACTCACCGTGGCGACCCCTGATAGGACCAAACCTTGCAATACCAACCACTTAAAAGCTTCACATTCCCATAGGCGAATTGTACGTTGTTGGTGATTGGAATCCCCACAGATGCAGAAGCAGTGGAGATAAAGCATCACTTTGAGTAAGGACCGTTGAGGATTTTTTTGGATATTTCATTTTACAGGTAATACGTATTTGACCAAAGCCCTAGTGGTAATTTCAGCCGTTAGCTTTTATTACAGTAAGTTTGGATATTTCATTTTACAGGTAATACGTATTTGATGAAAGCCCTGGTGGTAATTTCAGCCGTTAGCTTTTATTACAATAAGAAGTTTTTTTTCATGAATCTCCCCTTGTTTTTTTTTCCGTCAGGCTTTTCAAATCCCAATCCAAAGCTCTTTAAATTGTGCAGGTGGAAATACAGTATTTCTGCCTTTACTTTTCAACAAAGCCAGGAGATAATTTTATTATATTTTAGTTTTCACATGTAATTTCGCATTTCTTCCTGGAAAATTATGAATTAACTGCTATCCCTCCAGGGTTTTTAAATCAAGTGGACATATGTTACAATATCAGTCATTCAGTGTCTTTCAAAATGCTTTTCCTCATGAGAAGCGACACAGTGCATCACGTAGGGTGAGATACTGGAAAAAAAACTGCTAACTAGTGCCGTAATTAGTGGAATCTGCCATGTTTGATGAAAAGCACAAGAATGGTGTTGACAATGGAGTTTTTCAATGTTTTCCCCTTTTATCGCTTTACTCTTTAATAGGGAGGCATATGAATACTGTACTGTGGAGGATGTACGGATCTGTTACGACTTCTCCAAGCTGTTGGAACTGTTTCATAAACGGTAACACATAACTTCTTCTGACCGGTTGATCATCTTTGTCCTGATTGTGCCTGAACAGCGCTTCGACTCGGGTGATGTTTTGTGCGCAGGAAGAGGGCAGAATGCCAAAAAAACTTCTACCTCGATCAACAGGCTCGGGGCAACACCACCATGATGACCGCAAACTTTTGTCAATATTTACGGTGTTTCAAACATTACAAACAGGTGAGAACGGTCATGTCTTCATTTCTACACCAAACTGCAGGGCCTGATATATGTTCTCTGCTAGAGCTGATGTTGGTCAATAGCTGATACAATGTGTTGAAAAGTTCGAGCAGCAGGAAGTATGCTTTGATTGTATTTTCCTTAAAAAAACAGGGAAAACTGGCTGAAAAAGGCCACACCAACAGGGAAACTCTTAAGTTGTCCAGAGATAGATAACCATCGTAATTACTCACCGAATGGAGAAAACAGTTACGTGTTTACACACTACAGGCATACTCAATAGTGTGTGTGTAAAACGTAGAGAATTATACCCCGAAGGACTTGTAAAAAACAAACGAAAATGGCTTTGAAGATCCTTCGACATTTGTGACTTGATCAGGCAAACCGCTGAGCAGAGTGATACTGAGAAAAATACCTTCGATGAACTTATTTGACTCATTGTCCCTACCAGCAAGAGGCGGTCGAGTATTACACCATGCTGGAAGAATCGTTATTGAAGATCTTCATGGAAGAGAGGGAGAAAGTACAGAAGAAACATTTAAAAATGATCTTTGTCACTTTTCAGAATGAGGCCGTGGCTGAAAGGCAAGTCCTGTTTCATAAGCCGTACCACTAGACGCTCTAAAGGTGCTGGTGTGACTGATAGATTCGCGTTATCCGGACGCGTGACTCGTTTCAGAATTTTGAGGGACTTCAACGTTTGCATTTGTCATGGCTGTCACGTTGAGCGAGAGCCCAGGTGTTCTTCCAAGAGCGCCAAGCTGAGGACAGACAATTGGACGGTCAGCTATGCCCCTGATCCACACAATGTCCACTGGTAGGACGACTTCAGGGAAGCAAAAAAAAAAAAAAACCAAAACATGACTTGTGGTTTAGCTTATCGTCCCGCCGTGTCTGAACCGCTCTGTTTCACAGGGACCATCTGGCAGTGGGCGGAATCTCATGGTGGCTCCGCTTTTTTGCCATCAACTTTTTGCTCGTCATCCTCCTCTTCTTCTTTACCACTCCATCCATCATTATGGCCACTTTGGATGACTTCAATTTTACCAAAGCAGTGGAGGACCTAAACGTGAGTGAACAGGTTGAGAACTGGTCTTGGATAATGAGCTTTTTGCAAGCAACGCCGTCAATGGTTATGGAAAATATAGTTTAGCCTTTTCCAGTTAGTTGAAATAGGACATCCTTGTATTGATAGCCTTGACTAAACAGCTGATTATGAACATTTTTTTTCTCAAAGCAACACAAGCTCATGAACATTTTTGTGTTGCACTCTGCACATTGCCATCCAAACGCAGCTGTTTTAAGCTACCATAGGGTTTCCCAGCTACGTTGAACTCGTGTAGCGTTAGCTAGTGACTATTCTCGAGAAGTTTAGTCACAACACAAAGTATGCAGTCTTCACTTCACTCTGGATTACTGCTCCCAGTGACCGTCATATCTCTCTCCAAATATTTTGGAGTGGCCATCACAAAGACCGTAATGTGCAGCCAAGGCAGCCGATAAAACTTGGCTCAGTTACACCACTTTGGACACCATGTGTCAGACGCAGATGAAAAAAAAAAGCCTTTTTATATAGTGTATGTAAACTCTATAAACATCTAATACTCGTCTGATTCCTCGAGGCTATGAACGCCTCCTATTTTGTGCAATGGTAAGTCGTCCAGCCTGTTCTGCTTTTTTCCCCAGAATCCACTCATCACACAGTTTTTACCCACCTTCCTACTGTGGTTGTTCTCCACCTTGCTTCCTACCGTTGTCTATTATTCATCTCTTTTTGAATCCCACTGGACCCGGTGAGGTTCCACACCGCTCAATTTTGCATGTTCTGAGGATGCGCGACTCTCGATGTAGTCAAGATTACTCATTTTTCCACAGGTCAACAGAAAATCAAGTTACAATGCACAAGTGCTATATTTTCCAAACTTTAATGTTCCTGGTTCTGCCCTCCCTCGGTATTGGCAAGTAAGCATGTATTTATTTATTTTTCATTTGAAAACAGCGAATGGAAATGCTATGCATGAATACATTGTATTACTTGTCTTGTGCAATAAACCCTTTGTTGCAGTATGGAGTATTTTTTCGAATGGCTTTTTGGTTCTACGTTCTTGTCCAATGGGACACAGCGATTTGAGTAAGTAGCAAATGCATTCCGCATCCTGTAATCATATCCATTTTATTTTCTAACATCTCAAACAAATACATGTTCTAGCAGGGGTGCTTTTATTGACAATTACAGGTCTAAACATCGTTTGCCTTGAAGCTTTGTAAGCTTTCACCACATCAAAATTCTGCCCAAAAAGTGTGCCGTAGACATCTAAATATATATTGTGACTCATTAATAAATAACAAACTAAAGCTCAGATTAAACAATAATGCAAACCAATCCAACGATCTAACACTTCATATTTCTTGAGAAATGATGTCCCCACCGTCCTAGACAACAACAGACTGATATCCAATCTTCAATTCCTGCATAAAATTTTCAGGAAGCAGTTGCCTATCTATCTAGTTGACAACCTACAAACTAAAAATCTATTTGAGGAGTATCAGACTGGATTTAGAATAAACCATAGTACAGAGATGGCCCTGGTGAAAGTAATGACGTCCTTACTGCCTTGAATAAAGGCAGCACCTCTACTTGTGTGATTGGAACTCAGTGCAGCCTTTGACGCATGACCACCAAAATCCTTGTTAAGAGTATGCCATCGGTATTAATGACTTTCTGCCTTAAACTAGTTGAAATCATACCTGTCAGGTAGCCTACAATTTGTAAATATTGACAACAAAGAATGACCATTAGACTTGAATGTGGTGTCCCGCAGGCATCAGTACTTGAACCTGTATTCTTTAGTCTTTACATGTGTCAAAGTAGGTAGTGTTATTAAGAAACACGTAAATTCCCACTGATATGCCGAAGACATACTCTATCCATGAAACCTGAGGAAAGTAAATCAATGTATCAATCTTCAGGCCTTAAATAAATCAAAAGCTGGAGGACTGATAATATCCTACTTCTGAACGAAAACCTAAATGATTGTCCTTCGCCTCCATCACTCCAGAGCCAAAGTCTATAGTGTTATAACGGCGTTAAGACTCCCCTCTCCTGGACCAGGATTTAGTATTCAATAGTCACATCCAAAAAGTGTCAAGGACCGCATTCTTCCACTTGCGTGAATAAAATAAAAAATCTAATCTAATCTCATTGTTAGGCTCACTACAATGGCTTCGCATAAAATTTGAAATTGCATTTAAAATCTTGCTGACCGATAAAAATGATCAAGCACCACCATCCATTAAATAACTGCTGGTGCCTTACGAACCTACTCGAGCGCTACGCCACATAACACAAATTCACCTGTGGTCCCCAGAATCTACAAAAATTGAACAGGAGGTATAACATTTAGTTATCAGGCACTCGTTCTATGGAATCTCTGCTCCCTGAGTCCACCCGGAAGGCTAAAACTCTCTCGTTATTGAAGAGCAACCTTAAATCATTCCTGTTTTATAAAGCATATTGTCAGGGATGAGCTATAGCCTTATTCATTTTTTGTGGCTTAATGCCTCAAGTGTCAGACACTGATGGACTGATTGGATGAATGGACAGTTAGCTACATCACCGTCTTTCTCACGCTCGCTTGTGCTCTTGCTTTATCTCTCTGTCTTTTCTTTTCTCTACTCTCGAACCCAACCATAAAATCATGTATAATTTCTTCCAGGTGCGTGTTCCTTCCCGACACAGGCTCCTTCTTTGTTAAATGTGTCATTGCATCTGCGCTCACTGGTAATGCCATGGAACTGCTGAGGATCCCAGCTTTGGTGGTGTATGGCGTTCGCATTTGCATGGCTTGTTCGGAGGCCAGGCGGAGGAACATCAGGATGGTTAGTGTGGCATTTCGTGGCATTATGATGTAAATATGTGCTTTTGTTTTAGCAGCAGTAGTTGATGATTTACCTCTTGACAAAAGCCTGAAAAGCACTGGCTTGGAGGATAGAGAATTTCACTTTATGGTCACTTATTGTGTTGTGTTGGCCCACGGGCATAGTTGACATGGGACAACATGTTTCCCTGCTGGCCACCGCCCATTCCCACACACTTTTATACCCATCAAAGTAGTTAAATTCCTTTTCAATGTGTCCTAACATGAACACTGTGGGCCCACACGCAAAAATCATGGCAGAGCTGATCGAATTGCCTTGCAAAAGGCAAAATTTGCAAATATTTTTCCAAACATGACAAATGTGTTGATTAAAACTATTATATTTTATGACAAATGAATCATTTTTATAGTTACCGGCCACGGAGTTTCCATGTGGAGCGTCTTACGCCTGGATGATGTGTATCTTCACCATGATTATGACCTATAGCATCACCTGCCCAGTCATAGTCCCTTTTGGTAAGATTAGATTTTTCTTTTTTTTCTTTTTCACAATTATAATCTGGTAAAATGACGTTGAAACATACATGAGCAGTTGATCTACTACTGGTTCTTGAATCAAGTCTGCAATTGATGCTGTGTCCCAATTCATTGCTCAGTGTGCGAGCCAAACAGCTACTTTTTTTCCCCTCTAGGGAAAAATTGGGGTCACTTGGTGGTTGGCATCAGCAGCCACTTTCACACTGGCCATCGATGCTGTCTTTCATTTCACCGCCCCCCAGCTCGATGTCTTCTGTGGAAAGTACTGACACGGGATGTGGTGGTTAAAGTTAACTTGGGAATTTGATGGCTTTTGAT